CAAACACACAGCATGAACGGCACCGCGTTCTTCTCACTTTTTTGCCAACCGGAACCGAACAAAGGAACACAAATAAATTTCGCACTGGATTCAGTGTCGAATTAGACTGCGCTTCCTGAGATGGGCCGCTTCAATATATAGCTGGGGATGCGACTCGCTTTTGTATTTTTAAATATGGCTTCTTTAATCATAGATATAAAGTAGTTTATGTCTATGATAGACTGAGGATGACAAACAAAGATAAGCTAGAATAGAGTTGCACATAAGTTAAATCATCATGTTTGTCGTGACAATATGATAACTATGTGGTTATAGTGGATGTCCCTATTGCATTGTATGGAGTACCATATGCTAGAAGCTGCTTCCTCCGTCCCGCATTATAAGTCGTTTTGGCTTTTCTAGGTTCAACATAGCATTTATTATGCGCCTAGATATACACTACGTCTATATACATAGCAAAGCTATGAATCTAATAAAGGCAAAACGACTTATAATTTAGAAGCAGGAGTAGTAACAATTACTTTATCCATTCGAAATTATAAGACGTTTTGGCTTTTTCTAGATTTCTGGATACATAGTTTTTGCTATGTACTTAGATATATATTATGTCTAGATATATAGTAAAAGCAATAATATATTTAGAAAAATCAAAACCTACTGTCTTACAATTTGGAATGGAGGGGGTGCATCTTTTTATTACTAACTGAAGGCCCCTGAGCATACAAGTGAGTGCTACAAGTGGTATCAAGTGGGTACTACATGTGGTATTAAGTTGGGAAAGAAGTTGGATAAAATGGTAAGGCACATTTTGGATGAATGGTAAGGCATAGAATGAAATTTGTAGTAAGCTTAGTGCATGTATACTTTAGTTGACTTTATTCTATTATTGCATTTTATGCTTCCTTTGATTGTGTTGGCATCATCACAAAATGGAGAGCGATTGTAAGAATGATGTGCCCTTTTGCACGATTAAGTCTGGTTTTGGTGATTTAGATGACAACATAGTCATTAGGACAAACATGTGGGCTTCGCATTAGGCCAGGAATAGTGTTTGGCCTTGTTTTTTCTGCACGAATGCATCAATTAGATGAGTGCACAACACTAATGCAGTACATTATACTAGTTCATATGGATGAAAATCGTGTTAGAGATGTAAAAGAACACACTAAAAAGAATGGAAGAAGAAAAATCGTAGATTTAGAATGCATAGATAGAAGGAAATTATGCAAGCGAGCACACTACAAATCCAGGGAAAGCAAACATCACGTACAGATATAAGACGACACAACTGCTAGTGAAAGCATAAGTATAGCAGTACACAGTACCACACCTTGTTGCAAAGGTGTAAGGCTGCTGGCCATAGAGGTAGAGGTTGTGGGAGAGGGAGCCTACAACCAAACAATAAAACATCACACAGATCAAAACTGAGATCATTGGATTTTTTTTCAAGAAACTAACAAAGCAGAAAATGGGTGAATAAGATGAAAAAATAAAAAATAATAGAAAAAAGGAAAAGAAGATAAGACTAGTGGGGAAAAGCGAGAGATCGATAAATAACCAAGGTCTCAAAATCCCAAAGTGGAGGATAGATGGATGGAGCACACATTTTCCATGGTGCTCTAGCCCAAAGCACGAAGAACAAAAAACAAGCAGAAAAATTAGCATTTGTCCATCCAGTCGGAGAACACAATCTGTGGATCAACCAGCTAAAAGAATAGAAGGAAGTAAACATAAAGAAAAGGAGAAGAAGAATACAATGCAGCACAAAAAATCATAACTTTTACAAATCGAGTTGGATGAAGACAAACTTTATATCAAAATTGTAGAGCTAGAACAGATCTACAACTTTACAGATGACAATTTTTTCATTTAAAATCATTTAGAGTCCAAAAACTATGTTTTAAATTATCATAGTATGAAATTCAAAATTTTCAGTTTGTTCAAATGACCTCGGATGGAGATACAACCTAAACCAAAGTTGTATACTTGGTGAGATCTAAAACATTTCAGTTTCAAACTTTTTATATAAAATCATTCAGGTTTCAAATATTAATTGCAAGATTCAATATTGTGAATACAAAACGAAATTCAATTAGTGACAAGTAACTTTTGAGTGGAGTGGTAGGGGAGGCACGTGTGAGGCCTCAAGTCATGATTTTGATTCCTGCTTTACACACGTGTATTTCACGCAAAAAATTCGTGACTTGTGACTTTTAGCATAGTCACCAACAATTGTCCACTACCATTGTAGAACTAAGAGAAACATAAATATCCATGTCAAAACTAGGGATGCAAGCGGGCTTGTCCGTGAACCCGAAAATAGGCTTTTTTTTTTTAAAGGGTCAGCAGGGGAGTCCCTGAAAATAGGCTTAATTTTGCGAATTCACGGAACATTGCTAATTTAAGCACCGAGTGCTACTTATTTATTCAGTAGGTGACTCAAACATTAGTAATGATATACATATGACAATGTCTGTTTGGACACATGAATAGAACAACAACAAAAACAGTGAGTACCCTTTCTCTATTCTTTTGCATTGCACTAAAATCTCAAATACGGGAACTAAGACTAATCTGTGTATACATTATTCAAACACATCAAAGGAACACATGTATGATAGAACAATGGTGCAATAAGTATTTTCATGATTACGATTAGTATCTCAACTAATAATTTAGCATTACTAGCAGTGATGCACAAATACAATGATAGATTAACACGCAAAACAAATACATGTATGGCAGAACGGCATAACAATGTATTCATCAGTACAATCTATGCTTGAATTAATGATTCAAGCATTGGCGGTGGTGAGAGCCGTGCAACTAGCACGGTAGACAAACACACCAAGCCCAACACACAAATACTACAACATACCTAGTCCTTGATGACAGCAAGCACACATCTACACGCGTGGGCTTCTTGTTGGGCTGGGAATAGTCTATGGCATGTATAATAATTGCATGGTGTGTGCATTGCATCATACAAAGGGGACTAATGCAATGTTATGTTGCAATCATGTCCATATTAATATGCTATTTGCAATTAACTACCGCTGCAATTTTTACACGGGAGAAATATAACATCAATTCGAGGTGTCTCTACGCGCAACCATGCACGCGCAAATCACTAATGTACATAAACCAACTGGTGCACTCATGTCATGTGACTGGTGTGTGATCAGGTGCAGTCTGTTGAGCATATTTGAACTGTATATGGTCATAAGAGACAAGTTGTTGAACCAAAGTGATATGATCATGCAAGTTGTTGCATGGTGGGTATAATTTAAGCACAGCAATTTTTTTTTGGTAACACTACACCACAACACTCGTTTCACCGTCAGACATCTGACGCTAAAAATTATATTTGGCGATGGATGATCTGACGCTAAAGATAACTCAGAGACCATCTGACGCTAAATCCTCATTTAGCGATTTAGTGTCTGACGCTATAGGTATTCATATTTAGCGTTGAACCGTCTGTCGCTAAAACCAAGTATACCGTCAATCTGGCTGACGCTAAAAAAATGGGCCCCATGCTAAGCTCGCATGCCCCACCTCTATCAAGCTCGCACTCTCCTCTCCCCCAAAAATCCCCTTTTCCCTTATCCCCTCCCCTCTCTCTCTCTCGTCTCGTCTCACACCCGAGCGCTCCGCTCGCTGGAGCCCGCCAGCCGCCGGCCGCCGCACCGGGGCCACTGCTCCCCAGTCCACCCCGCCCCCTCCTGCCCATGTCCAGGCTCGTGGGTTGCTGGCTCCTCCCCAGGCCGCCCACCCCGACGCTGGCTCGCAGCCAGGCCATGCCGCCCGAGGCCACGCCGCCCGCAGGCTAGGACACGGTACCCACAGGGCGCAGGCCTAGGCTCGGCAGCACCCTCCTCCAGAACTGAGGTGAGAGTTCGATTTGTCCCAAAATCTACATTGATTTGTGGATTCAGTGGGTAAAGTGTTAACTTAGGATTTCATAGGAGTATGAAACAGTGATTCTCTGGTTTGCTTGTGCTATGGATTGCAATTGGACAGATCTAGTTCCTGGGTACGCATCATTATTTTCTCTCTGTTTTAAACATCTATCTTGCTGTTGTGCGAAGTCAGCACCTGAACCCTAACTTAAGCTATTTGGCTATTTGCATATGGATCTAATCTAATTACAAGTGTATGCATGCCTACTAACTTCTTTTTTTTTGCAAAAATTATCAGAACTGTTAACTTATATAAGTAACTAACCCTAACTTAAGCTATTTGACTATTTGCTCTAAAATATGTCTAGGAAAGGAAATTTCCTAAACCCTATTTCTTAAACACTAAGCTTTGCTTGGGGATTGAGAAGAAAATGCTAGTCTAGGATCCAAACACACCCTTTGTTTCCATTTCTGCTTGAAATTGTTTTTGAGTTTCCATGGTAACAAACAACCTGATACAACAATACCTTCAAACCAAACAGTAACATTAAATTAACCTCTGCCAATAATTCCCATTCCCACTTCCCACGTCAGCAATCAAACAACTGTCCATTCATTTTCATTTTGAAACCTTATCTGATGGTTTGCATGTTTATATTCTTTATTCCCTTTTCTATTTCTAGAACCCTCTTGCTTTGGTATCACAGGTGATTGTTAGTGTATTGAGTGGTCAATCTTGACATTTGATGTACATAGATTATGACACCAACCAACCAAACAGTAGTGTATTGAGTGGTCAATACACTACTGTTTGGTTGGTTTGGTCAGGACATTTGATGTACATAGTACATAGATGGTGACTTTCAGCAATCAAACTACTGTTATTTTTTCTTTGTTTGGTTGGTTTGGTCCCTGCAGCAGTTCATGTAGCTGTTATGGTCACCAGAAAAAAAATATCAATAATTTCCATTCTCTAATACATGAGTACATGTCTGGGAAGGAATGTTCAACCGTTGAGGAACATTGAAAGTTGGATGTTGGCTGAGAACCAATGAATTATGATGTTTAATTGTCGTAAACTTTTAGCTTGTAAGACTTATGGTAATCATTCAATGAAAACTGACCAAAATTTTCAAATGTGGACTAGCCTGCTGTATGGTTGAGTTCAGGCTGAAACAGCATACAATACTTTCATCCTGCCTAAGGGCCTTGTTTCTTTCATCATGCCTAAAGCTGAAACAGACCTGTGGATGAAACAGACAGGGACTGAGTTCCTAGAGTTTTCTGAAGTCTCATCACAATCAGGAACATATGCCATCGTTACAGAGTTGATGTGTTGGTACTCTGTACCTTGAAATTACAAAGCTTTATAGGACAAGTCTCATCCAACATGCGTGTCTAAGTTCAAGAGATCATCCTACAATTACCAAGGCCTTGATATATTTAGTAATATTAAGAGATTATTGTTTTCCAGTGTTACAAGCAGGCATAATTGATTTTAAATATGTTCCATGTTTTGTAGCTCTCATGAGTGCATATTTACTTTAGGTTGGAACTGGTGAGAGCTTGGTCCCCTATAGACATGATGCAGCCCATTCAATTATAAAAAAGACAACTACACCAACAAATGGTGGCCCTTGTAATCTTCTTGTCTTCCTGCATTGTTTTGGTTTCATATACGTTCCTTGCTTTAAAATTCTTATGGGTGCATCATTTATGGGTGCATATTTACTAGAGTTTTGATTACTGTTAGGCACAAACTAGAGGCATGTTTCTCTTAGTTGATGGGATAATTTACTGCTGAAATTTAAACTTGACGGAAAGTTAAATTGGTTAGAGGCATTTGTCGCACTTAGGCGCAAATGAGGCCTAGTGCTTTAGATGATAACTCATACTGTACTTCAGTTTTACATAACTTCTCTACACTTTCTGATTCATATGGATCGGATGAACTGTACCTTTAGAAGGTAAAGAGCCTAGTTATCTGTTTATTTACAGCATTCTGTGCAAGGTCATGTACTCTATTTATTAGCAATATAATTGAATTATCTTGAAACATACATTGTAACTTGTGTGCGTGCATGCATTTAGCATGTTTTTACTACAGTTTGGTGAAACGTTTGTAAATTATGCATTTATTAGCCATCACATTGAGATACTGATTTTGTAATGCTAGCTAGGTTTGACGCTGCTCCTTGATTTACCTGTGCAGCTTTGAACAGTTCTGCATCAACTTTGCAAATGAAAAACTTCAGCAACACTTTAATGAGGTATGCACTGTATTTGTCTGTCGGATTTAGAAGTTTTTTTTTTAATTTACTTCTCTTAACACTAGATGCTATAAATGCCTTCTCTCAGCATGTATTCAAGATGGAACAGGAGGAGTACAAAAGCGAGGAAATTAATTGGAGCTACATTGAGTTCATTGACAATCAGGATGTGCTGGATTTGATTGAAAAGGTTGTTTATTTACCTTTATTCATTGACATAGGCTGAGTGATCTAGGCTGTGTGACCTTGATTTTTTTTTCCTCCTGGCTTTTATTTTGGAGGAATATCCTCTAGATGCATTAACACCCCGATGTTGATTCTCACTCTAACACTTCGTTAACATTAACATGACACAGCCTAGAATCCCTGGGACTGGAATCTCCTACATATCGTGGACATTCTTAAATTGAGTTCATATATAACTAAACTGTATTTTTTCATTTTAGTAGTTTCAGCATTGAGGAAATAACTAGACAACTCGAAGTATCAGATTGCACACCCAGTGTCTATGTGGGACTGATATACTAACCATTGTGGTCACTCAGTACAAGAAATGCCAAACCATTCGTCTTCCAATTTAACAAATGCTCACAATTTTTCTAGACCAGATTTCTATCAACCAGCAACCCCCTAGTGTATACCATTCTTCAGCACTAATCTCAAGTGTTGTTAAATATGTGGACCATGGGCTGCGTGTGCTTTTCCTTTATGTTACCCTAGTACTACAGCCATCAATTTTACATAGATGAAATTTGAATGTTCATGTCGATCGGTCACTTCGTGTTAGTGTTACTCATGCAGCTACTTTGCTATGTAGTTTAGTATCCATTTTTTTATGCCCTGTACTAGAGGTCATAGCTTTTCATCTTCTGTTAGCCGTTTAGTCCATATAGTGTTAGTCAGGCAGCTGCTTTGCTACTATCAAGGACAAAAATGACCTCTCTAAATAGTGAATACATTGTGTTCATAACCTGACCATGCTAATCTCATTCTCATATACTAACATTATTTGGTTCGTGGTTGTTGACCTGTGGTGCTAGGCTCAAATTACTAAACTTTAGCTTTTATTGTTTCTCTGTTCTTGACTTATATTTGGATGAAGCCATTTCTCTTTAGTACTATCATCTTGAGGAACTAACTGGAATGGTTGTCCTCCCACAGTACGTGATGGTTGTTCTCAAGGGTTCGGTGCCTATGGCATTTGGAGGTACCCAGGAGCCCACAGCTTACGGTGAGCTGGTTTCCATTGGAGTCCTGAACCTTGATGTGAATAAGAAGCTGAGTGCTGGCATTGCTTCTATCCTGGAGTCAAAGTTGTCCGTACCCAAGTCGCGCATCTACCTCAAGTTCTATGACTCAAAGGTAAGCAGCCACTTGTACTTGGTCACCTTATGTAGTTTGGCTGTGGCATGACATAACAAGAAGTCTGATACTCTGTGGATTACTTCTAAGATCTGTTACATCCCAACAACCTGTATCATATGCATTTTGTACCGTCTTTAGAGACCCACTTGTACTTCTCACACCCAATTTTAAGGATAAAATGGGGTGCATAACCTTATGTGCGCCCAGAGATCAGTCACACACATAAGCCGACAAATTATGAATAGTATCATCTCCAATGTTTATTACATCACGAATAAGACAGAGTTATTACATAAGTATAGCACAAATAATAAAAAGATCTATCGCGGAAGCTCCAATTCACAGGGACGTCAACTGGTTGACCACAAGTCTAGTAGTCCTCAGGGAAATCATCATTCTCAGGGTCATCTGTTACCCATCCGGGATTTTTATCCAAATAGTGAAAATAAACAAGCGTAAGTACATGTCGTACTCAACAAGTGTAACACGGGGTTCATGAGGCTCAAAAGGCTAGACACAAGCTTAACAGCGGTCAGCTTTTAGTTGTCATAATTTTAGCTTATGAGTAGCATCAAAGTGTTTCAGTCCCCAAAGTAGAACACATGATCAAATGTAAACATGAGTAATGAATAGCATAAACAGATATTACTTAGTGATCATCTATTCCATAAATGTTCCAAGGCCGCTCGTGACCATGAGCACGGCTGATATACCAGTTTTACACTCTGCAGAGGTTGTACACTTTCACTGTGAGTCATGATTCCCTTATGCCCGGGTTTATAACTCCCAAAACACTCCCAAGGTGAGCAGGCAGGGGTCACTATAAAGCCTTTCAAAGGTTCGTCTAACAAGTTAGGGCCATTAGATTCACTCGGCAAACAGTTATAGGAACCCCCCGGTCAAATGGCACAATTCCTTCACGGCTATACACATAAGAGTAGATGTTGTCCTATACCTGATTCGTCAAGCCATTCTTATGCCAATAAAGATAACCACTAACAAGCTAGAAAATGTCCTCATACTGAGCTAAAGCCAGAGCCATGTAGCTCTCACAATACTGTAAGTCTCGGATGATCACTTACAGATAAGTCCTTAGAGAGAGGAATCTGAAGCATTTAGAAAGTAGCTAAACACTCCAGCCCCTGTTGCCATGTTGCTAAAAAGTCACATTTTATGTTTATTGCATATACCATTAGTCAAGTTACAAGATCATGGTTTGACTGAGCTCTAGCTAAGCTACCCATATGCATAACCCATAGGTGACAAGGCAATAGCCCAATTCTAGGAAATTCCTAACAAGAAGACACATGCAATATGAATTTAATGATTTAAAGTGAATAGAAAACAAGGATGATCCCATGCCATACTTTCCTTGAACAATGTACACCTGCTGGTCCTGCTCGTCAAAGTCGTACCCTTGATCCTCCGAGAACTGCTCACCGTCTATACTCGATAACCACAGCAACATACAAGCATCCAGGAGCAATCATGCAAAGCAAACAAGGCTACAGATTAGAATAGTACAACAACAGCAAAGAATCAAGATGAAAAGTTTGGAAAACGAATCTACGTCTCGCTATGAACACGCAGACGCGAAGATCACAAAAATCGGATCTAAAACGGAAAAGTTATATTTTAAACAAGATTTCCTATAGACAAATAATAGATTAGATCTAAGCTCGATTTATAAAAGTTGGAAACCTACTTTACAGTAGCATAAACATGTAGATTACTTAATTACGAACCCAACGCAACTTGAACGGATCTAATCGGAGTTAAAACAAAGATTTTACGGCTAAAACAAATTGAATGGCAAATCTGTAAATAATTGAAAACGTATTTCAGCCCATCCGAAAGAAAATACGCTTTCGAAAGAAAGAAACATAAACTGTAAAACACGCAAAGGACCGTGGGTTGAATCTGGAATATTTATAAGGGCGTATTTGAAAGATAGGCAGCGAAGGGGTATCTTCCTTTATGAGCCGTCGGATTAGAAACCGACGGATGAGAATCGATCCAGCGGAAATAAAAAAAATAAAAAAAAAAAAGAAATCACCGGCATAGTACCGACGGCGGCTGGAATCATGGCGGCGCCATGGCCGGCCTTCTGAGGCCCTCGGTTCTTGGCCTACAAAGCTCTATTTGACAAAAGAGAAGTACCGGGAGAGAGAGGAAGGAGGGGGATCTCACCCCATCCAAAAAACGCATAAGAGGAAGGAAGCGACGACGGTTCGGCCTTCGGTGGCGGCGGAGGTTGACGGCGACGCCGAAGGCGAGCGGCATGCCTGCTTGGCGAAGAAAACGCCGCTAGATGAGATTGGGGAGAGAGGAGGGTGCGGGCGCTATTTAAGAGAGGCGAGGCGTGGGCGCCTGCACGAAATCGAGGGAAACAGTCTTGCCACGGACTCCGGTCGCGAGAGATTATGTCCGGCTCGGCTATGACGCGAGGAAGAAGAGAGCTGACCAGTGGGCCCGGCTGGTCGTGCGCGAGGAACGACTTTTTTGTGGCCTGCTTCTGGTTGGGCGTGTGTGGGCCGAGGTTCGAGTGCTTCACCCAAGCGGTGAAGAGCCTTGGGCTACGCGGAAAGAAACACTGCCTTCGACCCGAGCGGAGACAAGGAGCTGCAATGGCTTCGGAGAAGGAATGGGCCATGCGGAAAGCCATGGGCATGGCAGTGAGCAGCCTTCGGGCCGAAAAGAAGGAGGAGAAGAAAGTTATTCATTTTCTTTTTTTTTGAATTTTTCTTCAAAGCAAGTTCAAAATGAAATTTCAACTCAATTCGAAATCCAACTTCAAACCAAGCAATTCAAAATAGTATGCAGTGGCACGTATGCACATTCATGGTTGTCGACCTATATTTGATTTTATTCCTAATAAAATTATTATTTCCTAAATTCAAATGCCCATAAAATGCTTAACAAATTAATTTCCCCTATTTAAAAATGTTGTAAAATTTAGGGTGTTACAGTACTTGGTGCCATCGAGCTAGTAGTTTCTTTCTTATGTTCTTTGTTAGTATATGGCCATGATAAGTTGTAGTTCGATACATTTGGATTCCGCGAACCCAAAATTCCGATCCATGTTGCTTCTCTCTTCAACAGATCGTTCTTATGTATAGAAGCAGTGGAAGATGATGCCCTACCGATCACAAGGCAAAACATCTTATCTAACTCGAAGCAACCTGGCATTAGTTGAGCAAATATACTATGCTTTTCATCTAGTCAACTACTTAGACAAAATCAATAATATTTATATCCTGTAGTGAAAGAGTATAGACTTGTTGATTGTGTAGGTTTACAATTTTTACAGGCATGTAACTTTGCTTCTTTTGAAAGCAGTGTTTATATGCATTTAAAATGGAGTGATTCCTACTTTTATAATAATACATCATATTGAAGCATAGCAACTTTATCTGATCATGGATCTATGTTTCAGGTTCATGAATGAATCTATTTGTATGAGAAATATGCACAATAATGTTACTTTTGTATTAATTTGCAACAAAATAGCCTTTTATTTTTTTAATGCATTTAAACGATCTCGTCAAACCATCAGTCGCTAAAAACATTTGTAATTTCAAATTGTCTGTCGCTATAGAGTACTGGTAGGCTATCTGACGCTAAAGTGTAGCAGCAGACTATTTGTCGCTAAAAAAATTTAGGGCAACGGACTGTCTGACGCTAAAAGTACTGTCTGACGCTAAAGATTTTTAGCGACATGACTTACAGCGTCTGCAGAAGTCTGTCGCTATAACTTTTTAGCGTCAGATTGTCTGTCACTGTAGCCGCTTTTAGCGTCAGACCATCCATCGCTAATCTTGATGTTGTGATGTAGTGTAAGTTACACCAAGCTACAGAAAAATAATACCTCACCTATCAAAACTTTGTAACCCCCATGGTATAATCGTGATACCTCTTGTACATTTGATGGCTCTACACCAATAGTAAAATAAAGAAGCATATGTTACGTTTCCATCATTACATACATCCACTTGAGAACCACCCACTCAAGAATGTAACATTGGGGCATAATTCCTGGGCTGCTGGGCCATGTTTGTGCATTGCACAAAGGGGGGAAGATGGGTCCAAGGGGGAAAAAATATAAAACAGAGTGAACTGCTTGAAGCAGAGGCAGTTAGGAAAATCACCTCATTCTTTCATGATTATGTGCATTTGTTTAATCTAATAGCATTCTTGAAAGAATAATAGAAGTATTATATTGAATTTTTACTAGTGTAAATTATACATGATGTCGATGTTTATATAGTTTAACTGTACGTGACGCACACACTTCTGTGTGAGTGTGACTGTTGGAGGGAGTAACAGATTACAAATAATGCAGTATGTAGCTACCCTTATGTACGTTCATGAGTCATGACGACCCTATTTTTCACGCTGCTGGTCCACCAGCTCCGTTAGCCGCTGTTGGTGACGTTGCAGAAGTTTCTCACTTCGCCCTGGTCTCCAGTGAGCACGTCCAAGGCGCCCATCTTGTGCATGGCGTCGATGAACTTCGCCGCCCACTGCGCCTGGTTTCCCGCGTTGTCCGCCACCATCTGCCTCGTCGTGTTATCGCTGATGAGCGCCCAGTCCGAGTTGAAGAGCACCTTCCCGTCGAGCACGTTCCTGTAATACTGGTTGTCGAGGTCGGCTGGCGTGCCTGGTCCACCGCCACCGCGTCCCCACTGCTGCTGCAGCCCGGCGCCGTACTCCTCGTCCATGGTGTCGCTGACGTTGGGGTGTATCCGCTGCGAGAAGGACGCGCAGTGAGCGCGGCCGATGGAGTGCGCGCCGGAGAGCGTGACGAGCTCCTCCTGCGTGAACCCCTTGGCGGCGAAGAGCTCCGTGAGACGGTCGAGCTGGGCGAACGGCGGGGGCAGGCTCTGGCTGGCGTCGGACGCGGCCGAGGTGAGCCCGTCCCGGCGGCCGGACGGGACGCCGTAGTTGATCGCCCCGGAGCTCAGGATGTTGGCCGCGTCGCGGGCGGCGAAGGCGAGGATGTCGGCGCACGACACGGTCCCCGGGCACGCGCTCTCGAGCTGCCGCTT